TTGTAATCTAAAATGACTGAAAATTGCAAATTTCGCAAGGCTATATTTTCCGCATTTTACAACATTTTGCAACGAAACTTTGGAATATTACTAATTTTGTGATGCTCTTTCAAGCTGTATGAAATTTTTGTTGAGATCAAAATTTAGTCTATTACGCAAATGGTCAATTGTCTGCATTGGTTAACGAGAATTAGATGCCACCCAAAAATGGCGGATATTCATCATCGTGAGAAAGGCTCATTGGGATCCATGGGATCAGAAAGACAGAAAAACCTCACGGGATCAGAAAGACAGAAACAGACTTTAACATAATTTATGCATTTAATTGGACACGACGATACGATGTCAACGATACGGTGTCGTATGAAACGAAGACGCGCCACAGACGTTGTATCTGTCTGACCATGACGGATACCGTAAAACGTCTTGGACGAAATTAATTCATCAGATAAATTAATTTGTTTCATACGATGCACTACCGTCGCATTTAATTCGTTCAATTAAATGCGTCTGAATTAAATTCGACGATTGTGCAACGTATGAAACACGCCTCATCTTCCGAAAGTTCAGTAAAGCGAGCCGCCATTGTTTACAAATATTGAAGGCAATGCGTATGCTCTGAGTATTAGACAGATTTAGATCGAGGACGCGGACGTCAAAGACGACGTGAAGATGGCGTCAAAATGGCGTGGCATATCCATACATGGGCACAACACGCCATTTTCACGTCCTCTTTGACGTCCGCGTCCTCGATCTAAATCTGTCTATTATTTGTAGCTGAGCAACGTTTTTAACAAATGCGCATGCTCAGACTATTATTTGCACGCGGTTACTTTTACAGCACTGGACCTTCCTAAATAAAACCTAAATAAATGTACTTCCTAAATAAAACCTTATAAATTAATTTACATAGTTTGGAACTATATATCTAATTATAATATATGTACGTATATGAAAGGACACTGTTCTATTCCCAGTTATTAAGTATCATAAGGGGTCATCGACAATGGGGGGAGGGTCAGCTTTGAATCTGCTATGAAAAGCAAAATGAGGATGAAATCTGAATTATTGTGTGTGAAAAAACATTGCATATATATTATCCATAAACCCAGCGAAGTTTATTCGACATTATCCAGAGTTTATGCTGGAGTATTTGGTCATTGATCATTTGTGTTGACATGCAAGACTGCATGTGTGATATGTGTTTTTGGATTTTCATTTAAATTTGCAATTTTTGGTCACAAAATTAAAGAGGCTGTCAAGTCCGTTCTGCTCATGCACATGTATGTTTTATTTACATTTTTTGTTTCAAACAATAGATAATTTAATTAAAATTCCGATCTGTGGGCCCACACAAGTTAGCTCATTATGCATTCAGAATATATCACGCAAAAATATATTCATATGCATTCAGAATATATCACGCCCCAAAACAACAAATCATAAGTGGAAAACGCTAAGAAGCACTTCTTACAGAGGAGGTATGGACAAAACGTGACTGAAATTTGTGCACATTTAGCTCCAAAACAACAAATTTAAGATTGAAAATGTTAAGAAACACATCTTTATACAAGGGTATGGACAAAATTTGTAAACATTTTGTCCAAACCTCTGTAAGAAGCGCTTCTTAGCAAATTTGTTGTTTTGGGGCTAAATTTTTGCTTTAGTAGTTCAATTTTTCCTTCTGTGATATATTCTGAATGCGTAATGAGCTAACTTGTGGGCCCACATATCGGAATTTCAATTAAATTATCTACTGTTTGAAACAAAAATGTCAATAAAACACGCGCATGTGCAGAACGGACTTGACAGCCTCTTTAAAGCTATTTATTTAATTTCTTTTCAGACTTACAAATAGCCCTTAGGATACCACAAAACACTATTTGAATGTTTATTAATCATGGGCGTACCGGAAGGAAAAAATTAGGGGGGCGGAAGGAAAAAATTAGGGGGGCGGAAAGAAATTTGCCCGACTTTTCGGGATTGTGCCCGACTATTACCGAAAAAATTTTTTCCGGA